TGGGCTGTGGAGTCCAGCGCCCCTTCCGGTGCCCGCCGCCTGCCCGGGCGGCCAGAGCGGTCCTCCCCTGCTGGAAGCCCGCAGCCGCCGGTGCTGTGCTGGGGGCGCCCCGGCCGCCTCTTCCCTCCCCTTCTGGGAACTGCCTGCGGATGTGGCCGTGGCAGGAAGTGTCTCAGTCTAGTGCCAGGGAGAACTCCAGCTCAGCGTCTCTGGGGTGCGGGCAGGTGGCCTCCGCTTACACCCCCAGACAGGCTGCCAGCGCTGCGCCAGGGTGGAATGGCCCCGCAGAGACAAACCCCATCGGCCCGGGCTGGGATTGGCATCAGCAGCAGGTGAGGCCCCGCCCGGGCCCCAACCACTGGGTGTAGGGGGCCCCTGTGGGTCCTCGAGGGAAGGGACTGAGACCCAGGCGGTGCCCGGTGCCTGGGGGCAGCCTGGCATGGGCCAGCCTGCCTCCAGCGGGAGGGGGTCCCGGCAGCGACGCTGGGGTGTGCGAGGGCGTGGCTGTGGGGGGCCGACGTGGGGCTGCACACGCCTGCTGGCCTCGGCTGGGCGGTGGCTGCAGGCCGCGGGGCTCCGTTGGGGGTGTCCTGGAGCCCCTCACACCCGGGCCGGCATCGGAGGGGACAGCTGCCGTGGCCCCACCCTGCAGGTAGGGGTCCCCCTCACGCTGCAGGGCCCAGCATCCCTTGCTGTGTGGGGCGCCCTGCGGCAGGGCCCTCCAAGGGCTGGAGTTGTTTGGCCCCTGCGGGCCGCGTCCTGGGCCCTGCTGGGTCAGGCCGAGGCGCTGGGGAGGGTCTCTGGGGCGAGCGGCCTGGAGGCAGGTCTGTCTGGGGGCACAGAGGGGTGCAGGGTGTGCCCGACAGCCAGCGCCAGGGGTCGCCCCAGGAGAGAGCCCCCGGCCAGCCAGGCCCAGCCTGAGGTCTCAAGAGGAAGTGGGCAGGCTCTGCCTGGGGCTGTGCCCAGCACCCTGGGGCCCTTCGGCCTGAGCTGGGTGTAGCCCCCCAGGAGACAGGTGGAGCCAGAGGCCAGCAGGGGGCTGCCCAGCAAGAAGAGGAGCCCCGAGGAGAGGGCAGGCGGCTGGGGTGCCCGGCCCTCTGGGGACCCTGGCAGGCCTGGAGCCAAGGGAGACCCAGGGAGAGAGTGGGGCTGGGCGCGTGGACCGGGTGATGGGCGCCCCGCTAACCTGGCTGGCCACCCCGGGCCACCAGCAGGCTGGACCTTGTGGGAAGGCAGTGAGTAGGGCGGGAAGGGGGAGACATGGGGGGGCCACCCCCACGGACACGCTACCGTGTTGGCCCCGCTCCCCCCGACCCCGCATGGCCATGCATGGGGGCAGACTGCCGGGGCCGTGCCCAGGGGAACAGAGAGTGCCCCGCCGCCACAGGCCACGGCCCCCCCCGCCACCCCAACCCCTGCAGGCC